TTATTACCATAGACTTCACAACTCCTACGTTAGCCCTATAATTGTGGTTGGAAACGAAATTCAAAAAAAACCTGCATTTGTAGGTTTTTTATACGCACCTCTACCTCAGGCCTCAGAAAAAGGTTAACCATCTTCATTTTGTAGCTCGATGGTGAATTTCATCTTCCCATCAATCCTAGTCATCAAACCAAGAAAATTCTCCAGGTTTTCTTTGCCATGTTGCCAAATAGCAAAGTAGTCGCCTATATAGCGAACTAATAATTTAGAAACTATAAGTGCCTCCTGAATTAAGCGTTCCTCAAATTGAGCCGTGTAATTATTTGCTAAAATTGGTGACAAACACGATCCCATGGCTAAACCTCATGTTTGTTGACAATGAGGCTTTTGTTTCCTCTCCTTGAACAATCATATCTTCCAACAGAACATCGTCTAGAAATTAGGGCAAAGAGCCAGACACAATATGGTTCATATGTCTAACTGGCGCCTCGTAACAGATTTGTACGAACTACCTAATAAATAAATAAATAAATAAATATATATATATATATAGGGAGGGAGGTATTGTGATTGGAAATCAAATTGCATTTTTTTTATTTGCATATAAGCTTCACTTCGTTTGGGAATGCATGCGATTCATTGATCAGACCCATCGTTAACAGCATTTGTTTTGGTCCCTGTCATCGATACAAATACAGGCTCAAAAATATTGAGGCCCGTCCTTATTAAAACCCCATTCGGTTTTATTCATTCACGATGAAGATTGGTGTGATCTCAAATACATAATACTAAAAACGCCCATAAAAGCAAGTACCATTCCATTCCAGCCTCTGTTAAGATCGAATTAAATACTCTCAAATTAAAAATAGTTATTAAGATGAAAAATATTAAATTAGGTGACCCGTTTCTCAAATTTACTTTATAATATGCCTTTATATGAGAAAAAGGCATTACAAAAGGAAGGATGATAAAAAAATCAAAGCAAGTACGATGTACAATCTTGTATATACCCTGTTCGCGAATAGAAATAAAAAAAATGTTTTCACAAGTTCCGGGCAGCACATGATTTCCTTTAAACAATGAGTGGCTTGAGTAAGATAATGGGAGACCAAAGGTACTCTAAGGACTATTGTCACGAGACAGAGCAGAAATGATACCGGAAGCCTTATCACACATTTGTTAGTAAAGCGTTAGCAATTAGGCTGAATCAGTCCAGTAAACAAAACCGGGGCGCTAATAAGAATGTGATATGGAATTTTTTCATTGTCATTTTAAGCCTTTTCGATTTGCTAGCGAGACGATCTATATTAGGGTTGAATTAGAAAAAAGAGGCCGTGAAGAAAGGTATAGATTTATGCAACCACGAGTGATTTAAGTGTTATATTCGATTGAGACAAGTATTTACTCTATTCCAATCACATTAAGCCCTCTTCAATGGGTCTAAGTGCGTGGTTTTCAGAGACAAGATCAATGTAGTAATGTCATCAAAGTACTATTCATAATTTAAACAGCCTATAGATTCGAACCTGCAATTTGAGCAGATAAGCAGAAGGTATGTCGATATCGTGGCTCTAAAAGCAAATCATGAACCAAGTGGGATTCTGTTTGCTTTGCACTTTCGATACGCGTGGTCAGAAAAATTTCTTTACAAAGGAAGCAAAGCGAGGGAAAGCCAAATATTTTAAATAATTGTGGCTAAAATTAATCCAGTCCAACTTTTGGTAGACGATCAGGACTCCCCTAAAGTGGCTTCCGGACATCAACTAAGCCCACTAATTGGTCCCCAAAATCAATGCAGTTGGATAGCTAAGATATTCCGCGGTTGAATAGCGAAAAGATTGAGTCATGAGGTCGAGTACATACAGTCCTACTAAAAAATCTGAGCAAGATTAGCCAAAATTCACATATCAGCTTTAACATTTATAATATTTTTAATAACAATAATTTCAGTTGATATTATTTATTTCTCCTAATAACAGTTTACCTGGGTGAGCAAATAAGCCTGCAAGAACTTTGAGTGAATATAGATATAGTGAAATGAGATTTATAAATGGTTAACTCTTCAAGACCAGGAATAGACTAAGTGAATTAGCAAAGGGTAAAGTATAAGAAGCTACCCTCCCAAGCGATGTTTCGCTTTTAATGATGATCACATAACTGTAAAATATCCCATTTTAAAGAGAATATCAAAAGGAGGATTATTCTTTAGCTAAAGTAGTTTGTACTCTGAAATTTTTTTTCATATTCTATCAGCAACATATAGTTGCCATTCCTTGCTTTAAAGCTTTTGTAATTTAGCCATATGTCCTGGGACAACTTTGCATATTAAAAATCCTCTGGTAAGTCGCTTATAAATCCTACAATTTCGAGAATAAGACAGACCTGATTATCAATCAGAAATCATTTCACGCTTGGTCTGTCCTTTAATACTTACGCAATTCTGACTTTGTGGATTCCAATCATGATGTAAACATTACCTTCTACGCGTACGATCCCGCCCTCTCCCTTTTCTAAACAAGCATGGCTTTTCGGACCTAAAGCATAAAAAAGTCGATATTTGTATATCTCGGGCCTCAAAGTCCACGAAAAAAATACAAAGAATGAACGTTGCAGACTCGATGTCACCATCTCTGCGAATATCCTTCTTGATCTTTTTGGCGTCATGTATGCCTCTGTTTACTAAGTCCAAGAACTGTGCCCCACAGCCTCCAATCGTTAAGCAAGTTCTTTAATTTCTCGTATCCTCTCTGAAATAATCTTAACCAACTTAGATCATATAAAGTTAAAGTAATGGAAACTAACTAGATCATCAATCGCATTCACTTGGTTACGCCAGTTATTTTGAATGATAAAAAATTATCCACTGGCATGCAAACGCAAAGCCAAATTAGCTCAATTATACCAAAATATGGTTAAAGGATTTACTTGACTCCCGAGAGAATGGTGCCCAGGGGCCGAATGAGATAACTGATGGAGCTGAGGTTGATGCGCGTGATGCAGGATTATTTGTCCCTGTGAATGAGGTATTGACGATTGGGGCTGCTGATGCAACACGCGAAAACTACAGAGTCCAGAGGCAGCCGTACTTACTATGCTGCCAGACGCTGAGGAGCCAGTAATAAAGCTGCTACCATTGCCAGCCAAAGTAGCAGTTGGATGAGAGGAGACTGCTAACAAAGCTGCTTGCTGCTCAGCTAGTGACTCTTCTTGCTCAGAGCGCTGAAGAGCGCGTTCCAACTCCTGACACTGGAAAATGTGTGGAGATTTGGAATAATATATGAATGGGGAAGCTTAGGTAATTAAACAGATTTATAATAAACATAGGCAAGTCAAATCCATAAAGATTACAAATAGCATACACAACCATAAAGTTTTGATCCATTCATTTTCATATATTTTAATATGAATAGTAGACAATATAGGAATTACAAAAGTGAGTGAAGACCATTTCAACCCTGAGAAAAAACAATGGAACAAATAAATAGCTTAAGAAGGAATCCACACCTGTCGATCTAATTGGCTATTTTGACGTGCAAGCGTTTCAACGCATTCGGTGTAGTCTTGATTTTCCTTAGTTATACTCTCGATCAACTCAACAGCATGTTGCAAAATGGTGACACGAGAAGCTTTTGATCCACGAAGGTCTGGAATAGCATCACGTAGTTCATTATAACTGCCCTTGATGCTCGCCCGACGCTTACGCTCCAATTGATTGTGATGATCACGACTGAAAATAAAATATTTTATATAAGTTATTCTATATAACTGTAAAATTAAGATGATGAAATGAGAAGTGTTGCAGCAAAGAACCATATTTAAGGGTATTATATAGCATGTTAGTTGTTGAAACAAATCCAGCTAGAAATCAGATACAAAAATTGAAAGCTAATGATGTATGGATTTATTAGTGGTTAACCCTTCAAGACCAGGAATAGACTAAATGAATTATCAAAGGGTAAAGTATAAGAATATACACTCCTAAGCGATGTTTCGCTGTTAATGATGATTACATTTTGTGATCCATGAAATGCGATATCCATGTACTCGGTTCCATGGCTTTAAATAACAAGGAATTAATTTGATTATAATCAACGGCTTAGTCCTAGGGCAGTCAGATAAAATAACTTATACGATCCATATATTACTCAATACCGTAGATCAAGCCCTTAAGCACCAGCCGAGATATGTTGCATTCAAAAGAATTGTAAGATTAGCTTAAAATAAAGCCTGAATAGTTGTAAAAAATACTTGAGTAAAGCTTTCTAAGTGCTTGCTTAAATTGAGGACAATAAAGATTGAGTTTATAATGGAGGTATAGAAGAAAAGCTTCACTTGAGTGACATAATTAAGAGTATCGAAGCAAAATAAATTTTAGAGTATAACAACCCACATGGAACTATAAAACCTAAAGAAAAAACACGTGAAAAGAGAACAGGTAAACATCGAAAATATGCCCGGGAACAAACGAAAGAGTAGCATTCAATATTAAATGTACACTGGCCTGAATAACCAGAGACAATGAGAGTTAAAATAACGTTCACCAAAATAAGGAGAGAAGTAAAAACGAACCGATTGTCCTCTTGCTCCAGCCCATGTTGACTGCTTTCACTTATGCTTCGATGTCGGCTCAAATCGGAGCTACTTCCTTGACCACTGTAGCCATTCCCAGAGACATTACAATCACCAGCCATAGAAATACTACTATAGTGCGAATGATGTCCATGACCCCCATGGCTTCGGCCAGAAGATGTTGGATAATCATCTTCAAACTCATCTTCATCATCAAAGTCGCTTAGATCATCTCCCCCATCATCTTCATCATCAAAAAATTCGTCGTCATCGCCATCAGCGAAATTTCCCATCGAGCAGCTATAATTAATGCAACAAGGGAGGCTAAGTGGAGTTGAAGCTTATCAACAGGAATGGAATTGTGCAAGGGACCAAAATATGGCCTATAAGTTCCGGAAGTCAGAAGCAAAAATGGGGTGAAAAATAGTAAATAAGCAAGGACCAGATGGACTTATCGATTTTGTACAGCTTTGATTAAAAACAAAAGTGAGATCGACTAAACACTAGTGAC